TGACACAAAACTAACAAATACGAAAAAAATTTTGAATAAGGACAAAAAAAATAAGCCACTTAGCTTATTTAGCCGAACAGTGTGACGACTCTAACACTGTCCAATTACATCAGTTTCGGAGCCATGATGGAAATTCGAGATCGGCACTATTCGATATAGGAGTTCTCTTTTGTTCTTGCGTGTTGTTCGGCCGTCAAACTTGAAGAAAAGGATTATGCGACATTATTAAATTCAGTCGTGTAATGTGACAATTAACTTATTTTTTTAAAGAAATCTGTATTCAAATTGTATTCAAGCAAATCAATCCAACTATAACTTCATCAGATAAGTACTGATCAATTAATGTGGAAATTTTATTCGCAAGTACTATTATGCACCATGTGGTTGCCATGAAAAGAGTATAAGGGGTAAAATCGGTTCGGAGCGGCCGGTTTTTTGGGCTGGTTGAGACCGAACCCAATCGGTTCGATCGGGGAGGACATGTTCAAAGCCGATCCTGACCAATCTACATGGGGACCGAAATCGGTTCAGGGTAGTTCGGTTCGGGGAATCCGGTATTTTCGGGTTAGGCTCAAAACAAAAGAATGAGAAAAATTCACACCGTTCCACCGACTAAATGAGAAAGTGCAGACATTCAAAAAATCCGTTGAAAAGTTAAAAATTCAAAGAAACGAAACCCAGTGGCGACAATAACAATTCAAAGTCCCCTCGTAACTTAGGTTTTTTTTTTTGGAGCGGATCCTCTACCGTCCATGTTTTGAATTGGAAGAGACAATTGAAATTTGAACCGTTCAATATTGGAATCAATGATTCGAATCTGCTCAAAATCACTTTGCTGGAAGAATTGAATTCTTCGCACGAAGAGTCCTTTTGCAGATCCGAATCTTTGATTTTCCCAATGCATAGTTCAGATTTGGATTGTTTCCTCTAGTTTAGAACTTGGACTCGAGAGGATTCGATCCCCCCCTTCTTTTTTTTTTCCAGAGAAACCCTTGTCTTGGTTTTCACTTCCTTCAGTGCACGCGGCGTTTGCGTTGGTCAATCAATGGTCTCCACATTGAAATCGTCATCGGAAATTCTAATCGCAAGGAAGATTTGCAGGGAACCACGCAAGGAAAAACACGTTAGTGCTCATTTCGGATCCCACAAAAATCTAGAAAAATATCCATAAATTTTTGAATATTATTTTATGAGCTCTTGTAAAAAATCAGCTCCAACGGACATCGATAAGTATTATTTTTGGATTCGTAAGGCGAAATTGCTCAGTTCGCCCCTACGAATCCAAAAGTAATACTTACCGATGTCCGTTGGAGCTGATTTTTTTATAAAGCCCCATAAAATAATATTCAAAAATTTATGGATATTTTTCTAGATTTTTGTGGGGATCTGGAATGGGCCAAAACGTGTTTTTCCTTGCGTAGTTCCCTGCAAATCGTCCTTGCGAATAACAGGGCTCGGGTTAAAAATCAATGGCCGAGATTGGTGCAGCGTATGAGAACGGTAAAAAACCCTCGGTTTAATCGGTTTAGTGTTTCGGCTCGGTCCGGTCCCCCTTTGTTCTTTAATATTTCGGTTCAATTCCGTTTGGCAGAAATTTCAGATAATTAACCGAGAACGAATCGAAAATTTTATTTTTTTCGTCTTTCAAAACCGAAACCTGAACATCAAGTAGTACTAATTTTATCTAGGGATGGCAATTCACCCCGTTCCGCCCCGAATCTGTCTCTACCCATTTTCGAACGGGGTGGGTTTTTATCAAAATTTCGGGAACCGGGGCGGGTTTGGGTTGATGTTACCCCGCCCCGAACCCGCTTCGAAATATTTTTCTATACAAAATTATATTTTTAATCTAATACTTTTATCATTAAACTTAAAGATATATATTTATACCCCACTATTTTTCTCATTATTCTAAAAAAAACCTATTTTTTCCTTTATATTTCATCATTATAATAAGATAACACCTTACATATATAACCATTTTCTTCTTTTTTGCCTTTAGTTTTAATTTTTTTTCTTATTTTTCACTGGGTGGGTAAACCCGACCCCCGAACGGGGCGGGAACGGGGACACGCACGAATAACCCGGGTAGGGTCAGGGTCGGGCCATAATTTTTGGATCGGGATCGAGTTATGCCAAAACCCGCCCCGCCCCGCCGCCATTCCTAGCTACCAACTTGTGGTGCACACGAAAAATATTTTTAAGGGAAAAGAAAAGGTTTCCCAGATGGACTTGATTTTTTCATTTTTCTATTATTTGCTGTTTTGTGTGTTGGATAAACTCTCTTTTTTTTTTTTTTGGGGGTAATGTACGGTGTTCAGGGTCAGTTTGTGCGCACTTCAAACTAATCTCTACAGCCGTTTCACACGCTTACGCGAGAGGCCGGCGAGGTAGCTTTAAGAGTTGTTGATAAGGAGAATCGAACCTGTGACAGTATGTACAACTTTTATTATATCTGAAAACTTTCAACCCGTCCACACATGTTAAAATTCGATTTTCCTAGTATAAAATACTTCCATTCAAAAAGTAAAACAACAAAAAAAAACTTGTACAAAGCCAACCTCGTATGGGTTTTGTAGATCGAGCTAAGAATTAAGGAGCAAAAAGAAAACCTATAAATACAGGAGAACATTTTTAGTGCCGAGGAGGTATCACGTGGTGCCAGCTCGGATTTGAAGAGAGAGAGAAAGAGTGTTGGGGTGAGAGGAGAGAGTGTGTTTCAATCTGGGCCGTCCAATATACTTTTGAATGGCCTAGATGTATTGCTCGGGCACTACGTCCACCGGGTGACGTGGTACCCACCCGGCACCCAATAATTTCTAAGATATACAGAGGTGGAGCAATTATCTGAAACTTAAGAAAATTTACGTGCAATTTTTAATTAGTGTGCCATCATTTTTGACTTGGCAAATGCATATAATCCTTTTTAATATAGATTTCTTCTCCTATCATTCTATTGACACTTTTAATTAAAATTACTTGAGAAACACATGTTGATTAATTAGTGTATCATTGACAATATTAAAAATCAACATCTGAATTGAGGATAACAACTGAAAAATATGAATTTTAATTTGAATTGAGGAAAACCAATAATACTTGAGAATGTTGATATCCTTTTTGAGATATTAAATATATTAAATATTATAAATTAAGAGAAATAGACAATTTTTTGAGATATCTAAAAAAGAAAACAGACACAATAAAGTGGGACAGAGGGAGTACTTTTTTTTCCTCTTTCAAAACCGAAACCGATTGGATACTAGTAGGTACCATCTTGTGGTGCACAAGATAATTTAATACTTAAGGGAAAAGAAAAGGTTTTACAGATGGACTTGATTTTTTCATTTTTCTATAGGACTTGCTGTTTGTGTGTCACTTGATAATCAACAATTACTATGGATAAAATAACTAAAGGAATTGTAACATTTAATTAATACATGAATCTAGTCAAGAAATAGAGAAAATGACTCCCTTAGAGCATCTCCAACGGGAGATGTCAAATATGATGTGGAGCTTGTAACGGTAATATTTGACACTAATTAACAAACTAACCCAGATGCCTTTTTTAGGCCAAATCCTATGTGGCTTTTGACATGGATGAAGGGGGGAGGAAGCATGCCAACTTTGACTACCTACATCTTGCCTGCCAAATTTCAAAAAATAACTATTTGTATTTTGACATAAGGGTTGGAGAGGGATAATTTGATGTCAAATAATAGAATTTGACATTAGGGTTGGAGAGGAGGTTTTGATGTCAAATTGGAGATGCCAAAATGCCACATCAGCCTTCAAAAAAAAATTGACATCCCCAATTTGAAGTCAAGGGTTGGAGATACTCTTATTGAACGATGAATTAGTTTGATAAAGTATCCAAAACATTTTTTCCCTTTTGGTAATGCACGGGTGTCTCAAATAAGTTTGCGCGCACCTCAGACTAATCCCTACAGCCCATTCCACAGTCGTTTCACAAGCTTACGCGTGCAGGTGAGGTGGACGGCCCTAAGAGTTGTTGACAAGGAGAATCGAACTTGAGTACAATATCTACAACTTTCATTATATTTGAAAACTTTCGATCCGTCCATGCATGTTAAATTTTCTTGTGATATACATAATGTAAAATTCGATTTTCCGGGTATAAAATACTTTCATTCCAAAAGCAAAACAACAAAAAACTGGTACAAAGCCAACCTCATATAGGTTTGAGCAAGCAATTAATTGAAACTTTAGAGAATTTAATTGCGTGCAATTTTAATTAGTGTGCCGTCGTTGAGGATACATCGGAATTTTTTGGAGGGTTAAAAAATGAGAGCTTTGATTTTTGGCTTTGGCAAATGCATATAATCCTTTTTATATAGATTTCTTCTCCTATCACTCTATTGGAATTTTTAATAAAGGCTCCGTTTGTTTGGCCGTAAAATGTTTTCAGGTAAAATGTTTTACCTATTTTCCGGTGTTTGGTTGTGTAAAAAATTAGGAAAACATTTTACATGTAAAACATTTTCCATCAATTGGATGAAAATGACTTACTCTTAAATTTTCCGTAAGTTGTTTTCCGAAATGAACCCGCTGCCTTCTATTGCAATTCTCACTGCTCAGTTTCCTCGATCATCAGTCCTAACCCACGTTCAATTCCAATATTCTCAGATCTCTCCACCGTTTAAGCCCCCCACTCCCTCTCTCTCTACACTATTTTGTTGATTTCTGAAAATATTTTCAAGTGTCAACCAAACACCGGAAAATAAAAGTTTGAAGTTTATTTTCTGAAAAAATATTTTACATGGAAAATATTTTACATTGTAAAACATTTTACATCGAAACAAACGGAGCCTAAAATTACTTGAGAAACACATGATGTTAGATTAGTGTATTATTGACAATAAACATCAACATCTGAAATGAGGATAACAATTGAAAAATATGAATTTTAATCTGAATTGAGAAAAACAAAGAATATTTAAGAATGTAGATATCCCTTTCTGGTTGAAACTTGCCATTGTTCCCCAGTAGCTCATTGGTAGAGCAGTCAGCTGTTAACTGATTAATTGTAAGTTTGAAGCTTACTTGGGGAGATTTGATTCATTGTGAATTCTTTAATTCATGTTGATTAGTGTATCATTGACAATAAACATCAACATCTGAAATGAGGTTAGCAATTGAAAAGCATGAATTTTAATTTTTATTGAGGAAAACAAAGAATACTTAAGAATGTAGATATCCTTTTCTCCAAACATTTGGTTGAAACTTTTATTTATTAAATTAAAATTGTTTTTAAATTTGCAATAACCTATCATTTCACGCCACTTGGCACTCTAATATCCCTTCTCACATTTCATTTTGAGCCGATGACAAGAGAGTAATTCTACATAGCCTACCAACTAGCTAGGCAATTGCCGAATAGTGAGGGATAAAAGGATCTTTTCAACACGCACATAAACCCAAACTTTCCGATGCAGGAAGCCAACCCATGACGCAGAACATGAGTCATGACACAATTAACCCAAACTTCTTTACTAATCCACTCTTTTGCTCAGTATTCAAGTATATATGTGGACATTGCTAAATACTTTCTTCGTCCCATTTGAATTGTCCATGTTTTTACTGAGGGATGTCCCAAAATAAGTATTCACATTCTAAAAATAATCATCAAAACATGCCAAAATTGTAATTTTACCCTTCAAAACTACTCTTTCCAGTTTCCATCACATTTGGTTTGACCATTGTTGATATTTATCATTTTTAAATTGACTATATCTTTCAATTTATAATATTTTTCACAATTATGAAAACTTTATATAATAAAACTAATTGATATCTACCAAATAAGATTCATGATGTTAGATTAGTTTAAAATGGGACCTGGGAGAGTAAGTATCTCAAATTAATTAATCTATATAAAGGCCTACCGTTTTCTCATCAGTTCATCCAATCACCTTGAATTGAAGAAATATGAGTTTTCCTGCAGTTAACCAGCTTAGAGGTGGTGATCAAGAGTTCAAAGTTGAAGTTGCAGGGGAAAGTGATCAGATGACCGGCAACGGCACTCCTACTGCTTCTTCACCACCAAAGAAGTCTAAAAGGACATCTTTTCTCTCCTCCCATGGTTTCCATGATTTTCTCTCACCAGAGGTAATGCATATTAAGAGAGAGAGAGAGAGTGTGTGTGTTTTGGTTTCCATGAGATAAAAGATCTTCATTTCATTTGCATGCAACCATTAGTGTACTATGCTCTAAGCTATATCACCACATCTCTCTCTCTCTCTCTCTCTCTCTCTCTCTCTCTCTCTCTCTAATTCTGGGCATACTATTGATGTACTAACACACCAAAATGTTATTAGGTATGGAGAGCATCAGTGGGGGAGGTCCTCGGCACCGGAACTCTCGTCTTCATGATCGACACCATAGTCATCTCCACTTTCCACATGGACACCCAGGCCTCGAACCTCATACTGGCGACCCTCGTCGCCCTCATCGTCGCGATCCTCCTCATCGCGGTGGGCCCCGTCTCCGGCGGCCACATCAACCCGATCGTCACCTTCTCCGCCGCCCTCGTCGGCCTCATCTCCTTCTCGCGGGCGTTTATCTATATCGTGGCCCAGTGCGCCGGGGCCGTGCTCGGAGCCCTGGCGCTCCGGGCCGTGGTGAGCGGTGCCATCGCGGAAACCTACTCGCTCGGGGGTTGCACTCTCACGGTCGTCGCCCCGGGTCCGGACGGGCCTGTCACGACCGGGCTCGAGACGAGCCCGGCCCTCTGCCTCGAGATAATATGCTCCTTCGTGTTCCTTTTTGCTTCGCTTTGGATGGCTTTTGACGGGCGTCAAGCAAAGAAGATGGGCAACGTTCTTGTTTGCTCCATTGTCGGGCTTGTGTTGGGCCTCTTGGTGTTCATCTCGACAACGGTGACGGCAGCGAAGGGCTACGCTGGAGCTGGGCTCAACCCGGCCAGGTGTTTCGGCCCGGCCGTCGTGAGGGGAGGCCATCTCTGGGATGGGCATTGGATCTTTTGGGTCGGGCCGGCCCTGAGTTGCGTAGCGTTCTATTTTTACACGAAGATTATTCCGCAGCAACACTTCGCGCATGTTGAAGTCTTTCGCGTGTAGCGTTCTAGTCTCGCATCCCAAATTGCTCGTCCTGTAAGAAAAGTCTGTTCAATTTTTTGAATATAAAGCGCGCATAAAGTACTTTTGTGTAAAAAAATGTAAATTTTTTTGCTCTAAATTAAAGTACTTTGTCATGAGTTCCTTAATTTGTTGCAAAGAAATTCAAAAAAAAATTACGAATGTATTTTGATATTTAATCCCAGAATTGCACGACTATTCATATGGGTAGCAATTCGGTATGTAGGGTAGTAGCAACAAGTTGGGGGAAATTGTATGTATTCTAAAATTCAGCGAGAACGGATTAACGTGTTCGGGTTGGATTGGATAGTGGGGGAGCTTATGTGTCTACTCCTCTAATCGTGTGAGTTGCAAAATTGTTAGTATGATATATATATATATATATATATATATATATATGTTATTTGTCTATGTCTCTGTATTATACGAATAGTTCATAGGGTTTGGTAAATAAATTGAAAAGTGAAAAATAATAATGAGCTTGTTTTCTTAGTACGCCAGTGTGATCAAATAATCATCTTTCATTAAATATTCTAAATTGTCCAAGCTTTGAGGTGGTATTTATTTATTTATTTATTTATTCATACTTTAGAAGAAGTCACATGAACCTTAACCCCAATCTAACCCAAGAGTGTTAACATCATTCCTATAGGAATTGAACGCACACACAATCTTACCGCACCTAAGTACGGCTGCACAACCGCTGGGCCGACTATCATGGTCGCTCAAAAGTGGTTGACAAGTAACGAAATTCGGGAGATTAGAAGTTAAGTACATAAATTTGAGCCAGGCATGGATTAAGATTGTCAAAATTTTAAAAAAAAAAAAAATCGCACTAGAAAAGCTTGCTCGAATTTTAAAGATCCATGCACATCTTATGTATCCAAGAACCGGTAGATAATAACGGCGGCATTGCGGTGGTTCTTCGCGATCTATTTGGCGCACTAGAGTTGTCAGGCGGGGAGGATGGAGAGGAAGGGTTTTGAAATTGAGGAGGTCGATCGTGAGTGACTTGGGATAGAAGAAAACGGAGATAGGACCGTTTTGAGGAATACAGAAGGTATAGCTGACGATAGGAATACAGACCACCTAAAAAACCACCACCACCAAGTATAATGTTTGGATTCTAATCATTACTCCCTCCGTCCATTTTTAAGTGACCTGCTTCGTAACTCCAACTTATTAAAAAGACATCATCATTATACCTTTCACATCAACTTTTTCCTCCACTTTCCCTACTTATCCATCATCATTACACTTTTACTCACTAACTTTTCAAAATGGAATCTACTTTTAAGGACAAAATAGACAATGCACCAACTTTTACCCACTAACTTTACAAAATGGACACTTATTAAGGGACAGTCCAAAATGGAATACTGGACTCAAAAAAAGGGACGGATGGAGTACTATATTTCTTTCTCCGATCCAATCATTACTCTCATTTTTTCTTTTATCTCTCTCCAATTATTAGCCCTACTTTCAATCATTACTTTATTTCTCTCTACACTCATTACCTACAAATCTAAATCCAAAATCTCAAAACAAACAGGGTAAATTATAAGATTTGTAGGTAATGAATGTGGAAAGAAATAGAGTAATGATTGAAAATCGGGGTAATGATTAGAGAGAGATAGAGAGAAAAATAAGAGTAATGATTGAAGAAAAATAGGATAATGATTAGAATTCAAAATCCAAAACCCTTAAACGAATGGGGTCATAAACGATTAGAGTAAAGTTTGTTGATGGCAATTTTTTCTCATAAAATATATCTTAAGAATGTCAATCTCTCCCATTTGGGCAGATCCTTGCCCGACGATTACCCTTGTAAAGATGATCTCATGCACATTCGTGGTGCTATATTTGATAGGAGGAGGTCCGAAGAAGTAGACAGAGACGGCTCCAGAGTAAACCCCACAAAGACCTCAGGTTTGGGTAACCCCCACTATAGGGCAACACAAATAATTTTCGGGCAACCGCCTACCAAAGTTACATTTTGATTTTGATTTTTTTTTGTTAATGTAAAAGCATAATGTAACCTTCATTTTGTTTTTTCTTTTCCACTTGTATGTCTTTTTATTTTTTATAACTTATTAAAAGTATGCAACCAAGTTTAAAGTCGGGTTCGGATAACCCAAACATCGAGGCCGACACCGAAAATGGCCTACCCATGCTTTGTGTTGTGATGGCTAGGTCCGTGGTAGTTGTAGTGTTTGTGTCCTCGAGTACTATAATCGGGCGGGCCGGATATGGTGGCGTGGGCTTCAACCTAGCAAAGGTGTTTGGCGGCGGCCTTGTTTGAAGGAGATCAATTATGGAATGGCCGAATGGGCATTGGGTTTTTTGGATTGGGCCCTTTCTTGCTTGCACTATTTATTATGGGTTCATTTTGACTTTCCCAAGGGAGGTTTTGGGGGAGGAAATTAACCATAGTCTACTTGTCTTCCAAATTCCAATCCAATTACAATGCTACGGCCCAACTAATTTAATTTAGGGAAAATGACGGCCCATGACGTGTTTTGATAATTAATATCCGCCAAGAAAATGCAGAGAACATTTGTTAATACTGAAAATGTCCTTGACGGGTATTAATTATCAAAACACGTCATTGGCCGTCATTTTTCCTTTAATTTAATATTTAAAAAAACTTTTCAAATATAACGAAAATGAAAAATAATATTTTGATTTTTTTTGCACCGTTTAAAAATTTTCAATGAGATCTATCAAACAAGATCCATATTGGTAGGAAAATTATTTGCGTAAACATATGATTTTTGAGCTTGAAATCAAATTCATTTTCTAAAAGTTCTTGTTTTTAAAAAAACTGAAACACCCCGTAGTCGTTCTTGTAATAGATCTCAATAGAAATCCACACGCATCAGACGGCCACAAACGTATATGTGCCTTGATCTTGTCAGACATCTGTGTTCGAAGAGTAATGTGAATATGGATTC